CTCTTGACCTCAGGTGATCTGCCCGTCTCAGTCTCCCACAGTGCTGGGATTACAGGTGTGAGCCACCACGCCCAGCCTTCTTCACCTTTTATATCAAACTTTTTAAGGAAGAGCTTAGAAAGCCAATTTAAAGAAATTGAAATGTGTTATGTAAATGTCTATTTTGCAACTGAGACACACCAATTTATTTAGCACAAAAAGTCAGAGACCAGTAATGGGTCATTTTCTGTCAAATCTCAAGCTGAGCTCTTTAAGTGCAGTTTACAATTGGATTGATTGATTGGTTGGTTGGGTTTTTTTTGTTTTTTGTTTTTTTTTGAGATGGAGTCTTGCTCTGTCACCCAGACTGGAGTGCAGTGACACGATCTTGGCTCAGTATAACCTCTAGCTCCCAGGTTCAAGCGTTTGTCCTGCCTCAGCTTCCCAAGTAGCTGGGATTACAGGTATGAGCCACTGTTCCTGGCCTACAATTGGAATTTTTTGTTGTTGTTTTTGAGACGGAGTCTCGCTTTGTCACCCAGGCTTGATTGCAGTGGTGCGATCTCAGCTCACTGCATTGTCCACTTCCTGGGTTCAAACGATTCTCATACCTCAGCCTCCTGAGGTGCTAGGATTACAGGCGCATGCCACCATGGCTGGCCAATTTTGTTGTATTTTTATTAGAGACAGGGTTTCACCATGTTGGCCAGGCTGGTCTAGAACCCCTGACCTCAAGTGATCTGCCTCCCTTGGCCTTCCAGAGTGTTGGGATTACAGGCGTGAGCTACTTTGCCCGGCTGGAATGCTATTCTTAATTGAGCTGCTTTTATTTATTTATTTATTTATTTATTTATTTAGCAAGCCTTGAGGAAGGGATTTGGGGAATGAACAATGGTACTTGATCAAATAATCCTTGCACTAGGCAATCAGAGCTTCTAGGACCACTGTACCTGGCCAAGGGGGTTTTATTGATAATAATCTGTAAGGAACAAAAGGGTAGGTACTATCGAAATCATTGATTAGATGTAGGGAGCATTAAGGACATATGGAAAGTAGTTTGAAGTGAAATATTACTATAAGAGAATCGGCCAGGCGCAGTGGCTCATACCTGTAATCCCAGCACTTCGGGATGCCGAGGTGGGCGGATCACCTGAAGTCAGGAGTTCGAGACAGCCTGGCCAAAATGGTGAAACCCCATCTCTACTGAAAATACCCGAAAAAGCCAGGTGCAGTGGCTCACGCTTGTAATCCTAGCACTTTGGGATGCTGAGGCAGGATAATCGCTTAAACCCGGAAGGCAGAGGTTGCGGTCGCGCCACTGCACTCCAGTCTGGGGGACGGAGTGAGGCTCTGACTCCAAAAAAACAAATACAAAAAAAGTAGCTGGATGTAGTGGCACGCACCTGTAGTCCAGGCTACTCAAGAGGCTGAGGCAGGAGAATCGCTTGAACCCGGAAGGCAACCGTGTCAGTGAGCTGAGATCATGCCACTGCACTCCAGCCTGGATGACAGACGGAGACTCCGTCTCAAAAAAAAAAAAGTGAGAATGTTGCATAGATTACCCAAGTTAATTCTTATAATTTAGTGTTCATTTAAAAGGAAAATTGATTTCCTACTTTTTGTTTTTAAAAGTAGTATTAGGCCAGGTATGGTGAGTCAGGCCTGTAATCCTAACATAAAATGTGGCCAAGGTAGGAGGATTGCTTGAGGTGTGGAGTTCAAGGCCAGCCCCAGCAATAGTGAGACCAGGAAGAATTAGCCAGGCATGGTGCTAAGCACCTGTGGGCCCAGCTACTCAGCTATTTGAGGCAGGAGGATCGCTTGAGCCCTGGAGTTCAAGGCTGCAGTGAGCTGTGATGGCACCACTGCATTCTAGTGTGGGCAACAGAGCAAGGCCCTGTCTCTAAAACAAAATGTAAAAAATGTATTTTCCATTTCCCTATTCATTTTATGTATTTGTAGCATAAATGTTACTGCGCCTATTGACACTTGACAGCATTAGATTTCTATTATATGTGTTATGTTGCTTTACTGTATTAGTAATATTTTTTCATAATTAGGAAAATCTTTCCATAATTACTTTTAACAGAATTTTTTTATTTGGGGTATTGTGGGAAATGGCTAGTTTTGTCATCGTTAATAAAAATTATGTAATTAAGTGCCAGTGAAGAACCATAGTTTGAAAGTGAATTTAATACATTAACTCATAGTTATGCAATCTCACAAGCATTTTGCTGCCTTCAAGTTGTCTGTTTCCAGCTAATTCTAATGACTAAATTTTGTATTTTCCTTCTCAACAAAAATTTCACTCAGTTCTATATATATGTTAGATGAGACTTGGAACATACAGCTCTACAACCTTAAACTGCTTTTCCAAAAATATGAAAGCTATGAAACCAAAAAATCTTCATAATTTAACTGATTTGGTGACAAAGCCTAAATTGAACAGATGTGGGAGTATTTATAATTGTTAATTTTACATAGCAGGAAATAGTAATTTGTTCAATTAGGGTTGCTATTTCATATCCTTTTAGTGTTTCAATATAGGTAGTACCCAACAGTTTTATAAAAAACATGTCCTCATTGCGAAAACACTAAAAGAATTAATATGTCAAAATTGCTTCCTAAGCTCACATTTACATATAAGTTAACTTACATTTTATTGAAAAACGTAACTTATTACTACTAATATTCTGACACTCCAATGATTTTGAGATGTGAACACTTACTTGTTAGTATGCTCAGCAAATTCTAACAGTGATGCAATTTAAAATCCAAGATTGAGTATCAATGTCTTAACGTTTTAGATAGGTTATGTCATTTACTATGGAGAGATCCATAAGAGCATTTGAAATGAAAGCTTTTTTCCTAAACTTCCCTCTTTTTTAAAAAAAAATTGTATGTGTGAAGTTAATGTTGTATTTCTAATATGAGCTTAATGTTGCAATTAATGTGTAGTGGAAAATAATAACACTTACATTGATTTTTGAGACATAGAGCTTGCTCTGTTGCCCTCTGGGAGTGCATGGCACGATCTCAGCTCGCTGCAGCCTCCACCTCTAGGCCTCAAGCGATCCACCCACTTCATCCTCCCAAAGTGCTAGGATTATAAGAGTAAGCCACTGTGCCCAAGCCATCAATAAATTTTTATGGGTTAGAAGTTTGGGCCAGGCGTGGTGGCTCATACCTGTAATCCTAGCAGTCTGGGAGGCTGAAGCAGGCAGATACTTGAGGTCAGGAGTTCCAGATCAGCCTGGCCAACATGGTGAAAACATGTCTTTACAAAAATACAAAAAGTAGCTGGGTGTGCCAGGCGCGGTGGCTCACGCCTGTAATCCCAGCACTTCAGGAGGCCGAGGCGGGGTGATCACGAGGTCAGGAGATCGAGACTATCCTGGCTAACACGGTGAAACCCCATCTCTACTAAAAATACAAAAAATTAGCCAGGCGTGATGGCAGGCACCTGTAGTCCCAGCTACTCCGGAGGCTGAGGCAGGACAGTGGCGTGAACCCGGGAGGCAGAGCTTTCAGTGAGCCGAGATCTTGCCACTGCACTCCAGCCTGGGCGACAGAGCCGAGACAGTCTCAAAAAAAAAAAAAAAGGTAGCTGGGTGTGGTGATGCATGCCTATAATCCCAGCTGCTCAGGATGCTGAGACAGGACAATCGCTTGAACCTAGGAGGTGGAGGCGGAGGTTGCAGTGAGCCAGGAACGTGCCTCTGTAATCCAGCCTGGGCAACAGAGCAAGACTGTCTCCAAAAAAAGAAAGAAAGGGGCCGGGCGCGGTGGCTCAAGCCTGTAATCCCAGCACTTTGGGAGGCCGAGACAGGCGGATCACAAGGTCAGGAGATCGAGACCAGCCTGGCTAATACGGTGAAACCCCGTCTCTACTAAAAAAAAATACAAAAAACTAGCCGGGTGAGGTGGCGGGTGCCTGTAGTCCCAGCTACTCAGGAGGCTGAGGCAGGAGAATGGCGTAGACCCGGGAGGCGGAGCTTGCAGTGAGCTGAGATGCGGCCACTGCACTCCAGCCTGGGCAACAGAGCGAGACTCCGTCTCAAAAAAAAAAAAAAAAGAAAGAAAGGGCCGGGTGCAGTAGCTCATGCCTGTAATCCCAGCAATTTGGGAGGCTGAGGAGGGCGGATCACTTGAGGTCAGGAGTTCAAGATCAGCTTGGCCAACATGGTGAAACCCTGTCTCTTATTAAGAATAAAAAATTAGTCAGGCGTGGTGGCGGATGCCTGTACTTGGGAGCCTGAGGCAGGAGAATCACTTGAACCTGGGAGGCGGAGGTTGCAGTGAGCCAAGATTGTGCCACTGCACTCCAGCGTGGGTGACATAGCAGGACTCCATCTCGAAAAAAAGACACGTGAAACCAAATGATGATGAGAGAAACTGAAATAGCAGTTTGTTACAGGCTGGGCGTGTTGGCTTGCTCCTGTAATTTCAGCGCAGAGGGAGGCCCAGGCAGGAGGATCACTTGAGCCTACGAGTTTAAAACCAACCTGGGCAACAATGCCAGATCCCGTCTTTAAAAGTATGAATAGCACATTGAATTCATTGGATTTTTTTTTTTTTTCTACGAGTCTCACTCTGTTGCCCAGGTTGGAGTGCAATGACGTGATCTCTGTTCATTGCAACCTCTGCCTCCTGGATTCAAGCGATTCTCCTGCCTCAGCCTCCTGAGTAGCTGGGGTTATACAGGTGCCCGCAACCACGCCCAGTTAATTTTTGTATTTTTAGTAGAGACAGGGTTTCACCATGTTGGTCAGGCTGGCCCTAAACTCCTGACCTCAAGTGGTTCACCCACCTCAGCCTCCCAAAGAATTGCTGGGATTACAAGCGTGAGCCACTACACCTGGCCAGAATTTTTTTTTAATGCCGATACTGGTGATGGGATTAGAGTATATTAACTGATTTTACTTAGTCCCTCCATTCCCACATTAATTAGTTCTCAAAATTTATTTGCATGCTACAAAAGAGCTCAACAATTTTCTTATTATGTGCAATTTTTTTAATAGGAATAAAAAAATACGTTGTTGGCCTCATTATCAAGACGTCATCTGACCCAACTTGTGTAGAGGTAAGAGTTTATTTTGGAGATTATTGGGAGAGCATAAAATCATTTAGATATTGAGTCTTTGACTACAACCTAATTCTGTCAAGACACATAGTCACACATACGCACAGTCAGTCATTTGCAGTAGACTGTAATCATTTGTTTCTTAGGAGGATTGTCTATGGTTATATTCTTATTTATTGTACTTACCTCAGGCTCTCACTGAATCTTTTATTTTTCCTTAGAAAGAAAAGGTGTATATCGGAAAATTAAATATGATCCTTGTTCAGGTAAGCTTTAACTTAACTATTTTCCTCAGAAGAATTATGCTTACTATTTGAACAAAATGTTTGACCTACTTAGAAAATAAAGTATACTAATATTTGCAGAAGTAGTTATAGTATTCTTACAGTATTAGGTGACCTACTGTCTAGTACTTGAATGTTAAAATTTGCTGTGGCAGGGATCATCAAATAACGTTAAAGCCATCATTTATGTGGCTGCAGTGTGGACTGGACTTTATGTTGAATTCTTTTCTTTTTATTTTCTTTTTTTATTTTTTATTTTTTTTTGGAGACTGTCTCACTCTGTTGCCCAGGCTGGAGTGCAGTGGTACTATCTCAGCTCACTGCTGTCTCCGCCTCCTGAATGGCTGGAATTACAGGTGCCTGCCGCCATGTTTGGCTAATTTTTTGTATCTTTAGTAGAGACAGGGTTTCACCGTGTTGTCCAGGCTGATCTCAAACTCTTGACCTCAGGTGATCCACCCACCTCGACCTCCCAAAGTGCTGGGATTATAGGTGTGAGCCAGCACCCAGTCGGATTGTTTTTTAATTTTGTGATATGCCTGTGCATGTTCCTTTGCACGTTATCTCTCTCAGTCCTTTGATTTCCTTGTCCTTCTAATCGATTTCCATGCTTAGTCCTTAAACTATCTATGTAGACTACATTTATAATTTTTGTATTTATCTGTTTTCTGTAGTAATATAATTTTTTTTTCAGAGAACTCTGGTATGTGTGGGAGGAAAAAACAGTAATTTCTATTTAAATAAGATTTAGAAACATCCAAGTTTCCAAAAATTTTAGTGTATTCAGTAATTAACTCCAGCTTTTATTATACTTTAGAGCTTTCTGTCAGCCCGTCTCTGATTGGGGAGAGGGAGGAGAGAATATAAAGAAGGTTAACATGTATTTTTATAATCTGGGAAATCCCTTGTGTGTGATATAAAGAGTCCAGACTTGCATACAAATATAATGCAGTTGATGAGGCTTTTGGTTAAAAGTTTTTTCAGGCCTGGATTGCAGTGCCTCCTTTCTTCTAAATTCATATATCCAAACCCTACTATATTTCAAGGCTCAAATTTCATCCAATAATAAACTGTCTTAACCTGTCACTTTTTACCACCAGTCGTTAGTTAGATCCTTGAATCTCCTAGGATAATTTCTTTTTTTCTTTTTTGAAATGGAGTGTCAACTCTGTCGCCCATGCTGGAGTGCAGTGGCGCCATCTTGGTTCCCTGCAACCTCCGCCTCCCAGGTTCAAGCAATTCTCCTGCCTTGGCCTCCTGAGTAGCTGAGATTACAGACCTGCGCCACCACCCCCAGCTAATTTTTGTACTTTTAGTAGAGTCAGAGTTTCACCATGTTGGCCAGGCTGTTCTTTTCTTTCTTTCTTTTCTTTTTTTTTTTTTTGAGACGGAATCTCGCCCTGTTGCCCTGGCTGGAGTGCAGTGGCCTGATCTTGGCTCACTGCAACCTCCGCCTCCAGGTTCAAGAGATTCTCCTGCCTCAGTCTCCTGAGTAGCTGGGATTACAGGCGCCCGTCACCATGCCTCACTAATTTTTGTATTTTTAGTAGAGACAGGGTTTCACCATGTTGGCCAGGCTGGTCTCGAACTCCTGACCTCGTGATCCTCCCACCTCAGCCTCCCAAAGTGCTGGGATTACAGACATGAGCCACTACACCCTGCCTGACCAGGCTGTTCTCAAACTCCTGGCCTCAAGTGATCTGCCCACCTTGGCTCCCCACAAAGTGCTGGGATTACAGGCGTGAGCAACCGCACCCGGCCTCCTAGAATAATTTCTACATATCTCTCAGGCAGATATTAATACAGAGACAGACCCATTAGACAGATTGGAGCTTTCATTAGGATAATTGAAAAGGGTCCTGGGGTGATTAAGATAAAAGACTTTATTTGTGTTTTGTTTTCTACCCAGTGTGGGGAAGAGGGTGGCACATTTCTTCCTTTAATAAAGGAGGAGAAAATGAAAAGTGGTTTATCCTTACTCCTGCTTTTATCCATTACATAGTTTCTTTGAAGGTTGTTTTATTTGCCTTTGAGAAATGAAGTGCTGTTAACATTTCGTGTCTTATTTTAGATACTGAAACAAGAATGGCCCAAACATTGGCCAACTTTTATCAGTGATATTGTTGGAGCAAGTAGGACCAGCGAAAGTCTCTGTCAAAATAATATGGTGATTCTTAAACTCTTGAGTGAAGAAGTATTTGATTTCTCTAGTGGACAGATAACCCAAGTCAAATCTAAGCATTTAAAAGACAGGCAAGTAATAATTATGTTTTAGATGTTTAAAGTAATTTCTCAAACAATTTCAAGCAATTTGGACGTAAATTGTAGATATTTTAAGGAACTGTGATCAGTAATACGTTAAATTGCTTGTAGTGGTTTTCAACTACAAATTAAGAAATAGTCCTAGACAGGGCCTAATAATTTGCCTCTGGAGGTTGAAAAGTGAATTGTTCAAGATACACTTTAGGAATTGTTTTGTATGGTAACTAGTTAATAGGTTCTAAGCAAATGATTTGTGCCCAAACATACATATTAGTTATTTTATTTTGTTTTGAGATAAATCTTGCTCTGTTGCCTGGGGTGTAGTGCAGCGGTGCAATCTTGGCTCACCGCAAACCCCGCCTCCTGGGTTGAGGTGATTTTCTTGCCTCAGTCTCCCAAATAGCTGCAACTGCAGGTGGGTGCCACAGCGCCTGGCCTCAAATCAGTTATCTCTGCTTCTTGTCATTTCCCCAATTATTATCAATAGTGTTCTTTTTAAAACAAAATAAAACAAAAAACTAGACTTGCCTCTAATAGTAAGCAACCAGTATAAACTATAGGTACACTTCCATTAAGTTTTAAACATTTGTTGTAGTCATTAGGAACATGGGAAAATTTTTCTCCCAGTTTGGTGTATAAGCTCATTTAGGATTTCCGCTGTATGTAATGCCATTTGTCTTATTTTGGAGAGTTTTCAGTATCTTAATTAAAGATACTAGCTTGATTGTATCTATCACCATTAAATGTACAGTCACCATTTAATCTACATTAAATCACTAGAGTGAATGTAGATTTAATATCTGGGTAACTTTTAATGACGTTATTGGTATTTTAAATGTGTTTAAATAAACGATACAATTTTGCTGAGGGAGAGCATATAAATCGAACATAGTCACATCTTTAATTACCAGATTGCTGAAGTTTTGATCTTTTTTTCCCCTTGGGTTGCCCAGGCTGGTCTCAAACTCTTGAGCTCAAGTAATCCTTCCGCCATGGCATCCCAAAGTTCTGCGATTACAGACCTGAGCCACTGTACTGGACCTAAATCATTTTTATTATTATAAATAACTGATATTTATTTCTGTGTCTTCTAAATCTGATATTTTTGTGGGTTTTGTTTTTTTTTAGCATGTGCAATGAATTCTCACAGATATTTCAACTGTGTCAGTTTGTAATGGTAAGTGCTTTAAATTTCATGTTTAAAAATAACAATAATAGGAAAGCAATTATTTACAAGTGTGTTTTATTTTAGGAAAATTCTCAAAATGCTCCACTTGTACATGCAACCTTGGAAACATTGCTCAGATTTCTGAACTGGATTCCCCTGGGATATATTTTTGAGACCAAGTTAATCAGCACATTAATTTATAAGGTACAGTGAATACATTTCAGTTATTTGTCACTGTATAGCTGCATATGTTCTTTTCACATGTAAAGCTCTCATCTCTGCATTCTAAACCATTTTCAACCTTGTTTCTAACATGAGGAAACTGCTCAGAAGAAATTTCCCATGTTTACACCTACTAAATTATTTAAAGTGAGTCTCAAGTCTGATTCTGCCACTTATACCATGTAATTTTATGAATTCATTTTGAACAATGTATTTGATTATATTGCCATCTTTTAGTTGAGTATATAAGTTACAGTGAGGTAAGTCAAGTGCTATTTCTGAAAAATGAAAAGTTCATCTTTTAACTGATAATTTAAAATTATACCATGTTATGTCTTCTTTAAGTTCTACAATGGTTTAGCCTGGGCAACATGGTGAACCCCCGTCTCTACTGAAAATACAAAACTTAGCCAGGCGTGGTGTGGTGCATGCCTGTAGTCCCAAACATTGGCCCAACCTACTTGGGGGGCTGTGGCAGGAGAATCTCAAACCCAGGAGGCAGAAGGTGCAGTGAGCCAAGATCATGCCACTGCACTCAAGCCTGGGCAACAGAGCAAGACCCTGTCTCAAAATAAATAAATAGTCGGGCGTGGTGACTCACACCTGTAATTCCAGCATTTTGGGAGGCCAAGACGGGTGGATCACGAGGTCAGGAGATCGAGACCATCCTGGCTAACACGGTGAAATCCCGTCTCTACTAAAAAAAAAAAAAAAATACAAAACATTAGACAGGCATGGTGGCGGGCGCCTATATTCCCAGCTACTCGGGAGGACGAGGCAGGAGAAAGTGAACCCGGGAGGCAGAGCTGGCAGTGAGGTGACAGAGCGAGACTCTGTCTCAAAAAAAAAAAAAAAAAAAGTGTATATATACACATATATAATAAATAAAGTTCTACAGTGGTTTATCCAGAGATAATCACTGTTAACGGTTGTATTATATTTTCAGTTGTTTTCTTGACTGATGTAATGAATAAATTAAGTATCTAGGCTGGGCGCGGTGGCTCAAGCCTGTAATCCCAGCACTTTGGGAGGCCGAGACGGGCAGATCATGAGGTCAGGAGATCGAGACCATCCTGGCTAACACGGTGAAACCCCGTCTCTACTAAAAATACAAGAAAATTAGCCGGGCGAGGTGGCGGGCGCCTGTAGTCCCAGCTACTCGGGAGGCTGAGGCAGGAGAATGGCGTGAACCTGGGGGAGCGGAGCTTGCAGTGAGCCGAGATCGCGCCACTGCACTCCAGCCTGGGGCACAGAGCAAGACTCCGCGTCAAAAAAATAAATTAATTAATTAATTAAGTATCTAATTGGAACATTATAACTTAACCTCTTCAACTTCGTAGAGTTTGGTAACATAATATGGATTTATGGTGTTTGAATGATGAGTTTATGGCTTAAGTTACGTAAAAACCTTTCTATTGTCAACAGTCCTATAGAGAACATTCTCAGACATAAGATATTATGCAATTGTTGAAACATTTACTTTCTTTAAATATTTTAATGTTTAATTAACAGATTATTAAGGTTTTAATGCCCCCTGAATTCCCAACCCCAGATGATAGCTGTTTATCTTCTCAACAATAGAATATGTAAGCCAACTTTCCCATATTCTTATTACTCTTAGATATATTGACCATTTCCCAAAATCCTAAGCAATCACAAGTTTTAGGTCCTGTGTAATTACACAGAAAGTATAACATTCCTAAAAGTCATATCACAGATTCTAGGAAAGTTGTTACGGAGCCTTGTTATTTTAGATGTCTAAGGACACATCAAAAGAAAACAGTTTAGGCCAGGCGTGGGTGGCTCATGCCTGTAATCCCAGCACTTTGGGAGGCTGAGGTGAGTAGATCACGAGGTCAGGAGATCAAGACCAGCCTGGCCCAACATGGCGAAACCCTATCTCTATTAAAAATACAAAAATTAGCTGGGTATGGTGGCATGCGCCTGTAGTCCTGGCTACTCGGGAGGCTGAAGCAGGAGAATCACTTGAACCCGGAAGGTGGAGATTGCAGTGAGCCGAGATCAAGCCCCTGCATTCCAGCCTGGGCGACAGAGCGAGACTCTGTCTCAAAAAAAAAATTAGTTTGCTCCTAAAGCATTTACTGTATATTGGGTAGGCAATAAAATTTCCTCTCAGTATATCTGCAAGATAAAATATGTTCATTCACTTGGCTGTTTTTGACATCTACGCCTATATTTAATTGTTAAAGCTTTTTCCTTTTAGTTGTGAATTTTAAGTAAAGTGTGTGTCAGGCCAATTAATTTTATGGTTCCCTCCCCCCTTTTAAATAGTTCCTGAATGTTCCAATGTTTCGAAATGTCTCTCTGAAGTGCCTCACTGAGATTGCTGGTGTGAGTGTAAGCCAATATGAAGAACAATTTGTAACGCTATTTACTCTGACAATGATGCAACTAAAGCAGGTAATACAATACTATCTTGAAAATTGACTGGATAATTTTAGTGCCTTAGAAAATACTGAATTCCAAATGAGTTATTTTAGAACAACGTATCATAGATCAGCCATAATCTTATCTTATATTTATTACATAAAATTTGTAGTAAGCTACAAATTGTTAATGATGTTTCCAAAAATTTCTTAAAACTCAGGTTTGGGGTGTGTTGTGGTAATTTATTTTTGCACAGTTTTGGAGCTTGGTCTTTTGGGAGATATCTGACCAGACAATGGGAAACCTGGGAGTTGTTCCTAACATTGTGTCTGAAGGAATTCTTTTCAGCCCTAGTTTGATTGGTTATCTATTAAATGATCTAGAAAGTTATTTATAATACTGTGTTCATGGCCAGGTGTGGTGATTAACACTGTAATCCCAGAACTTTGGGAGGCCAGAGTGGGAGGACCAGTTGATGCCAGGAGTTCGAGACCAGCCTGGACAACATAACCAGACCATCTCTACAAAAGATTTAAAAAATAGCTAGCTGTGGTGTTGCATACCTGTAGTTCCAACTACTCTGGAGGCTGAGGCAATAGGATCGCTTGAGCCCATGAGTTCAAAGTTAAAATGAGCTATCGTCACACTACTGCACTCCAGCCTGGATGACAGGACAAGTCCCTGTCTCTTAGAAAACAAGGAAAGATAGATTACTGTGTGTGTTTGTGATCTGAATGAATTAATTCATTATTTTTACATTTTCAGTGTCAGTGAGAAAGGGATTAAGTCCAATACTAGAAAAAATGTAAAGGCTGTGATAGCGGCCTTACTAGTTGCAATTTAATTTATTTGAGAAGAGTCAAAATCTAGGTCTTAGAGATATAAGAATAGGTATACCGGACCTAGGAGTTCTATATGTGGTTTAATATTAGCAAAAGGGTGTTGGGATCTTAGGGCTTAAAAATAATAGTGTTGGCTGGGTGCAGTAGCTTACACTTTTAATCCCAGCACTTTGGGAGGCTAAGTTGGGAGGATTGCTTGAGCCAGGAGTTCAAGACCAGCCTGGATTTGTAGATACGGTCTCTACAAAAACTTTTTAAAAAATTAGCTGGGTGTCATGGCACATGCCTGTGGTTCCAGCTATTTGGGAGGTGCTGAGACTGATTGAGCCTAGGAGGTGGAGGCCGCAATATGCTGTGATCATACTACTGCACTCTAGCCTGGACAGAGTGAGACCTTGTCTCAAAAATAATAATAATAAAATATAAATGTCTTTTGTTGTTTTATGAAATGCAAACTGATCATCCCTTTTTAAATTTGCAGATGCTTCCTTTAAATACCAATATTCGACTTGCGTACTCAAATGGAAAAGATGATGAACAGAACTTCATTCAAAATCTCAGTTTGTTTCTCTGCACCTTTCTTAAGGAACATGATCAACTTATAGAAAAAAGATTAAATCTCAGGGAAACTCTTATGGAGGTAAGCTGTGTGGAGCCTTTGCTCCTAAAATTCTGCTCTACCTACTAATAACTCTTAAAAGTGCCTTTTTTCAAAAATGTATGTACCTTTTGAGATTTCTTATTACTTAATACTTGACCTGTGCATGATATATATTCTTAATTCCGAATTACAGTCATAAGCCCAGTTTTCTGATTTTATGTTCTCCATAAAGCCTAGGACTAAACATTTATAATCAAAATTAAATTACTAATTATTATATCATTTCTAAGGTTAAAATTCCAAAGACCTTATTTTAAAATTTCACTTTTAATTCAAATAACATTTGTTCATTTAAAGATACACAATTCAGCGTGTAATCCCAGCACTTTGGGAGGCAGAGGCAGGAGTTCGAGACCAACCTGGCCTACATGGTGAAACTCCATCTGTATTAAAAATACAAAAAAATTAGCTGGGCGTGGTGTCACGTGCCTGTAATCCCAGCTACTCAGGAGGCTGAGGCACGAGAATTGCTTGAGCCCAGGAGACTGAGGTTGCAGTGAGCCAAGATCACAGTACTGCACTCCAGCCTGGGTGACAGAGCAAGATTCTGTCTGAAGGAAGAAAATATATATATATATATATATATATATATATAACATAAATATATACACACACACACTCTTCAGTGGTGTATTAGTATATACCACTGAATATACTAATATTATATCACCATTAATGTTATACCACCATTAATGTTATACCACCATTAATACCTAGATCCAAAACATTTTCATCACTCAAAGATGACCCTTTACCTATAAAACAGTCACTTTCTCCTTTGTTCTCTCCCCAACTTCTGGCAACCATTACTTTGGTTTCTGTCTCTGTAGATGTATCTATTCTGATTATACCATATAAAGGAAATCATACATGTGACCTTTTTGTGTCTGGTTTCTTTTATTTGGCATTGTGTTTTCAATGTTCTTCCATGTTGTAACCTGTATCAATACCTCACTTTTTATCATGGCTGAGTAATATTTTCATTGTAAGAATATTCCGTATTTTGTTTGTTCTCTCCTCTGTAATGGTACATTTGTGTTGTTGATACCACTTGCCTATTGGCACTCAAGGCCTTTTAAATAAATGTCATTCCGTTAGGAGACATGATAAAAATACATATTGATCAACAACTATGTGAGAGATTTTTGAAGTGCTTTAGGGCATGTCAGAAGAAGCAGAGTTATTCCAGAGTTTACTGTCTGATAAGTATTGAAATCTGAGTTGTGATGAATAAAACATGAATTTTTATTTTCCCTTAAGGTGTAATAAGTGAAAAGCAATTTGAAGTTGGTAATGTTTAAGAATTATTTTTTAATAGTTTTGGTCTTCTCTGTAGGCCCTTCATTATATGTTGTTGGTATCTGAAGTAGAAGAAACTGAAATCTTTAAAATTTGTCTTGAATACTGGAATCATTTGGCTGCTGAACTCTATAGAGAGAGTCCATTCTCTACATCTGCCTCTCCGTTGCTATCTGGAAGTCAACATTTTGATGTTCCTCCCAGGAGACAGCTATATTTGCCCATGTTATTCAAGGTAACAGAGTGGTTGGTTGAGTGTTCTTCCTGTTGCTTGCTGTGGTTTTGAGGTCTGAATGCAAATACTTCTAATCTATCTAAATAAATTAGCTACGAAAAGAGAGCCCAACAACTTCTCCATGAGTGTGGAAAACTAGAACATGAAAGGAATTGAGTCTAGAACCTTGGTTCTCTTTTTTTTTTTTTTTTTTTTTTTTGAGACAGAGTCTCACGCTGTCGCCCAGGCTGGAGTGCAGTCGCGCGATCTCGGCTCACTGCAAGCTCCGCCTCCCGGGTTCCTGCCATTCTCCTGCCTCAGCTTCCTGAGTAGCTGGGACTACAGGCGCCCGCCACCGCGCCCGGCTAATTTTTTGTATTTTTAGTAGAGACGGGGTTTCACTGTGGTCTCGATCTCCTGACCTTGTGATCCGCCCGCCTCGGCCTCCCAAAGTGCTGGGATTACAGGCTTGAGCCACCGCGCCCGGCCGAACCTTGGTTCTCAAGAGTGTGATCCTTCTCTCAGTATCAACGTCGCTTGTGATTTTGTTAGGCAAAATTCATTGGCCACCTGCCAATCTACTGAACCAGAGTCTAGAAGTGAGACACAGGAAACTCCTGTAACAAAAGTTGGCTTTAAAAAAAATCACATTAAAACACACTTAAATAATTGTAAAGCCATTTTTGTAGAATTACAGTGAAAAATTTTCTTCTGTTGGAGACAGGGTCTTGCTCTGTGGCTCAGGTTGGAGTGCAGTGGCATGGTCATAGCTCACTACAATCTTGAAATCCTAGGCTGAAGCAATTCTCTTGCGTCAGCATCCCAAGTAACTGGTTGCAGGCACGCACCACCATCCCCAGCTAATTTTAAATTTTTTAGTTTTACTTTATATTTACATAGTTTTTTCTGTTGTGCTTTAAGCCCCAGTATTTTTATTGTTTTAGAGATTGGGTGTCGCTGTGTTGCTCAGGCTCCTCTCAAATTCCTGGCCACAACAGGTCTAGAAAGAATTGCCTCCAGAATAGTTAGAATTATAGGCATGAATCCCTTCACATGGCTGGCCTGTGGGTTTTTTTGGTTTTGTTTTTAACTAAGCTTCTACACTAATGATTTCAGTGATCTAATGATTTTTTCTTGATTGATTTATTGCTGAATATAGGTCCGTTTATTAATGGTTAGTCGAATGGCTAAACCAGAGGAAGTATTGGTTGTAGAGAATGATCAAGGAGAAGTTGTGAGAGAATTCATGAAGGATACAGATTCCATAAATTTGTATAAGAATATGAGGGAAACATTAGGTAAGTTAATAAATACTGTTAATCTTTACCTTTATAAATTTATTCTGGGGTAGAAATATATTTTAGAAAATGTACTGTAGTTTCTAAATATTTTCTAAACATGGTATTCATTGGTAAAACTCTTTGCTCATTATTTGCATTTGAAACAATTTTTTTTTCGTAGTTTATCTTACTCATCTGGATTATGTAGATACAGAAAGAATAATGACAGAGAAGCTTCACAATCAAGTGAATGGTACAGAGTGGTCGTGGAAAAATTTGAATACATTGTGTTGGGCAATAGGCTCCATTAGTGGAGCAATGCATGAAGAGGATGAAAAACGATTTCTTGTTACTGTTATAAAGGTATGCAAGGGATAGGTATGAATTAGAATTGCTAAATAAGTATTATGTTGTTACAATAAATGATATAAATCTGTCTTATTTACAGGATCTATTAGGATTATGTGAACAGAAAAGAGGCAAAGATAATAAAGCTATTATTGCATCAAATATCATGTACATAGTAGGTCAATATCCACGATTTTTGAGAGCTCACTGGAAATTTTTGAAGACTGTAGTTAACAAGCTGTTCGAATTCATGCATGGTAAATCTCTTTCTTTACTATATTTTGTTTTTATTTTTATTGAACAAAATAAATGAATGTTTTTGTCTTGTTAGAGACCCATGATGGAGTCCAGGACATGGCTTGTGATACTTTCATTAAAATAGCCCAAAAATGCCGTAGGCATTTCGTTCAGGTTCAGGTTGGAGAAGTGATGCCATTTATTGATGAAATTTTGAACAACATTAACACTATTATTTGTGATCTTCAGCCTCAACAGGTATGTTAAGCACTGAGCATATGTTATTTTTAGAAAGTAACACCTGTATCAATCTGTATGTATCAGTGGAAATAGGAAGGCAACTGTTGGATCCAATAGAAGTGTTTCTGATTAAACTTTCTTTTTTCCTTGAGAACAGGGTATTACTCTGTTGCCCAGGCTCAAGTGCAATGGCACGATTACGACTCACTGCAGCCTTGAACTCCCAGGCTCAGGTGATCTTCCCACCTCAGCCTCGTGGGTAGCTGGGACTACAGGCGTGCACCGCCTTCACACCCAGCTAGCCTTTTTCTCCCCCCTTGGTAGAGATGGGGTTTTGCCAAGGCTTGTCTTGAACTCCTAGCTTCAAGCGATACGCTAGCCTCAGCCTCCCAAAATTATTTTATATGTGTGAGCCACGATGCCCGGCCTGATTAAATTTTCATAGTGAGACAGATTCTTGTTTTTGTTTTTGGGGGGGTGTGTGTGTGTGTGTGTGTGTGACGGAGTCTCCCTCTATCATAGAGTCCAGGCTGGAGTGCAGTGGCACAATCTCTGCTCACTGCGGCCTCCTGGGGTTAAGTGATTCTCTTCCTCAGTGGCTGAGATTAACAGGTGCGTGCCACCACGCCCAGTTGACTTTTGCCTTTTTAGTAGAGACGGGGTTTCTCCATGTTGGTCAGGCTGGTCTCAAACTCCTGACCTTGTGATCCGCCCGCCTCGGCCTCCCAAAGTATTGGGATTACAGGCATGAGCCACCACCATGCCTGGTTTGGGTTTTGTTTGTTTGTTTGTTTGTTTTGTTTTGAGATGGAGTCTACCTCTGTCACCCAGGTTGGAGTGCTGTGGTATAATCTCGGCTCACTGCAACCTCTGCCTCCCAGGTTCAAGCAATTCAAGCCTCCCAAGTAACTGGAATTATAGGCACTTGCCACCATGCCTGGCTAATTTCTTTGTATTTGTAGAAGAGATGGTGTTTCACCACGTTGGTCAGGCTGGTCTGCAACTCCTGAACTCAAGTGATTGGCCTGCCTCAGCTTCTCAAAGTACTGGGATTACAGGAGTGATCCCCACCGCACCTGGGCCAAAATCAGTTTCAAGATATTTGAGTTGCTTGTGTGTGAATTGCTTGTGTGTGGTTTTCCTTATTAGGGTGTATAAGAACATAAAAGTTAAAATGTCTGCTTTTTAAAATAGGTTCATACGTTTTATGAAGCTGTGGGGTACATGATTGGTGCACAAACAGATCAAACAGTACAAGAACACTTGATAGAAAAGTACATGTTACTCCCTAATCAAGTGTGGGATAGTATAATCCAGCAGGCAACCAAAGTAAGTATTCTACTTTTTCTTAAAGTTTTCATGGGATTTAAGAAGACTGTGTTCCTTACAAATATATTGAATTCAAGCCTTTAAACATGTATGTGTGATCCGTAAGTGCTTTTATGTGTGGCTTTGTACATTTTATTATCTGGGCCAGGCGTGGTGGCTCACGCCTGTAATCCTAGCACTTTGGGAGGCTGAGGCGGGCGGATCACCTGAGGCCAGAAGTTCGAGATCAGCCTAGCCAGCATGGCAAAACCCCATCTCTACTAAAAATACAGAAATTAGCTGGGCTTGGTGGCACATGCCTGTAATCCCAGCTACTCAGGAGGCTGAGGCAGGAGAATCACTTGAACCCAAGAGGCAGAGGTTGCAGTGAGCCGAGATCGAGCCTCTGTACTCTAGCCTAGTCGACAGAGCAAGACTCCATCTCAAAAAAAAACCTGAAAATCTGGGCCGGGCGCGGTGGCTCACGCCTGTAATCCCAGCACTTTGGGAGGCCGAGTCAGGCAGATCACAAGGTCAGGAGCTCCAGACCATCCTGGCTAACACAGTGAAACTCCGTCTCTACTAAAAGTACAAAAATTAGCTGGGCGTGGCACCGGGCACCTGTAAGTCCCAGCTGTGCTCAGGAGGCTGAGACAGAATGGCGTGAACCCAGGAGGCAGAGCTTGCAGTGAGCCAAGATCACGCCACTGCACTCCAGCCTGGGCGAATAAACGAGACTCCGTCTCAAAAAATATTTTACTTCATTCTTAGGTAGATATGGACAAAAAGGCTTTTGTGTTCGTTTTTACCATTTGGGATTATAAATATGATTTAGGGTAAGGGAAGTGTAATGGCTTTTGTTTCAGTAATTATGTGGATAATTTTTTTTTTTTTTTTGAGACGGAGTTTCACTCTTGGTGCCCAGGCTGTAGTGCAATGGCATGATCTCAGCTCGCTGCAGCCTCTGCCTCCCAGGCTCAAGCAATTCTCCTGCCTCAGCCTTCCAAGTAGCTGGGATTACAAACAAGCGCCACCATGCCTGGCTGATTTTGTATTTTTAGTAGAGAGAGGGTTTCTACATGTTGGTCAGGCTGGTCTTGAACTCCCGACCTCAGGGTGATGTGCCTGACTCAGCCTCCCAAAGTGCTGGGATTATAGGTGTGAGCCACCTCACCTGGCCATTATGTGGATAATTCTTACATGATAAATGGAATTTGCTTTTTTTTCTCCAAGAATGTGGATATACTGAAAGATCCTGAAACAGTCAAGCAGCTTGGTAGCATTTTGAAGACAAATGTGAGAGCCTGCAAAGCTGTTGGACACCCCTTTGTAATTCAGCTTGGAAGAATTTATTTAGATATGCTTAATGTATACAAGTGCCTCAGTGAAAATATTTCTGCAGCTATCCAAGCTAATGGTAGGTGATTCTGATTTCTTATACGATGCAGTATAAACACTTCTCTTCTACTGCCTCAAGTCAAACATTTGATATTTTTCACAGATTTAAATTAGACCTCCCATTTCCCAGATGACCCTACACATATTTAAAATAGTTATGTGTACCTTTCCCTTTTAAAATTAGTCTTAAAGCTTATTTTCCCAATAAATCTTGTGTAGTTTTGGCTTTAAACTTTTTAATGGTAAAATGGAATTGCATCTAATGTACACCTGAGTACCGCTGTATAATTTTAGTGGTAAAATTAGATTCCATTTGATTCAATTTTGTAGGTGAAATGGTTACAAAGCAACCATTGATTAGAAGTATGCGAACTGTAAAAAGGGAAACTTTAAAGTTAATATCTGGTTGGGTGAGCCGATCGAATGATCCACAAATGGTAAGTGAGAGATGCTTTGCTTTTGGTTTTTAGTGTTGATGCTGTGTTTTATGGAGTGTGCTATACTCTATTATGTGCATTTTGCTAATTTAAAGCATATCAACTTTGTAGTTATTTTATGGCATTTTATTTATTGTAGTCCTTAATGTTAATATACTGTATTCCATCTTCAAAAGAAACTGCTGTTAATCAATAGCGAAGGGTGGTGATATGTAACAAGATAGCTAAGAAAATTGGGTCATTTTATGTTTCCATAGATAGGTCAGGAGGATTTAGTTAATGGAGTACGGGTGCAGTTTTTGCATTCCTCTTGATTTTTGGAACAATTACTAGAGCTACAAAGTTGTCATTACTTTACCTCTTTGGCAAAGTGATTGCTTCCCAGATTAAAGGCTTGAAAGTCTTTTTTACACTCTTTTTCTTAAATGATTTGCAGAAAAGGAAATCATTTTCAGTAATAAAAACCAGCTGCGTATGCCTCAACTTGTAAAATTGTGAATTACTTTTAGGTGTTAACTGTATGGTTTCATTCTTTTTATTCACTTGAGCCTTGGGAGATTCCAAAAAATTCTATTCTGATACTACTACTAGTTGGAATAGTGGGTTTTTTTTGTTTTTCTTTAACAAGTGTGCTAGTTATTTTAATAATTTTGGAATTTCAGTATTGTTTCTTGTTAAGGAAATACTTTTCAGTAAACTTGTTCTGAATATAATTCTCATGGAATACTTAAGTTGGCTAACCTAAATATCGAAAGGTTCTGAACATGTGTATTATGTGATCAGAACTGTATTTAAAATGTGAAAGCAGAATGTAAGATGTATTGAAGGAATTGTGATGCTTGTAGTTTACAAGAAGCTTGGGCACATGTCAGGAGCACAGTGGGAATAATACAAAGGGGTATCATATTTTATAAGTAACATTAATGATAAAGTTTGGGATATTTGTTCACATGAAACATTACATTTATTTTTCTTGTCTTGGCTTGTCACGGTGACTCATGCCTGTAATCCCAGCATTTTGGGAGGCCGAGGTCGGTGGATCCCTTGAGGTCAGGAGGCTGAGGCAGGAGAATCGCTTGAACCCAGGAAGGTGGTGGCAGTGAGCCTAGATCGCACCATTGCACTCCAGTCTGGGCAACAAGTGCGAAACTTCATCTCAAAAAAAAAAAAAAAAAAAAAGAACAAGAAGTTACTCATTAAGTATAACTGAGTTTACTTAGAACCATGAAAATCCTACTGGGCATCGTAGCATGCACCTGTAATCCCAACCACTAGGGAGGCTGAGGCAAGAGAATCGCCCCAGCTCTTCAAGTCCAGTTTAGGCAACACGGCAATATTCAGTTTCAAAAAAATAATAGAAATCCATAGTCTTTCTTATTTTCTGAGAGTAATTGATTGATGTTATTTCTGCTTGTGAAAATACAGTTAGCATTCATTAGATTAAAACATTATTCTGAGTTGGGCAGATCATGAGGTCAGGAGATGGAGACCACTCTGGCTAACCTCGTGAAACACCTTGTCTCCACTAAAAATACAAAAAAATTAGCTGGGCATGGTGGCAGGTGCCTGTAGTCCCAGCTACTCGATAGGCTGAGGTAGGAAAATGGCATGAACCTGGGAGGTGGAGCTTGCAGTGAGCTGAGATGGCACCACTGCACTCCAGCCTGGGCGACAGAGCGAGACTCCCTCTTAAAAAAAAAAAAAAAAAAAGACATTATTGAGGGCTCGCTTGCTGCCGTCTTACATATACAGTATACATTGAATCCTGATTGTGCCACACTAACTTGGAGCCACCAATTGAATTTTGAGCCTCACTTTCCTTATTATAAGAGTTTTGTAGCTGGGCATGATGCTATACCTGTAGTCCCAGCTACTCAGGAGACTGAGGCACAAGAATTGCTTAAACCTGGGAGGTGGAGGTTGCAGTGAGCAGAGATTTGCCACTGCACTCGGGTCTGAGTGACAGTGAGACTGTCTCAAAAAAAAAAAAAAAGTTTTGAATGACACTGTTTCCATGAGACTTCCCAACCCATTGTGATTTCCTGCTTTCTTTTGCTAAAAACTGTTTTAACGTAGGAAAACCTAATACAAACACAAGATTTTCCTATTTTCAGTAGATAATCATGCTACGTCTTACAGACACGAATAACCTTGTTGTTTAAAATAGTCACCACGTACCTAGATTAAAACATAACTTTTTTTTTCCCTCCTCAACAGGTAGCTGAAAATTTTGTTCCCCCTCTGTTGGATGCAGTTCTCATTGATTATCAGAGAAATGTCCCAGCTGCTAGAGAACCAGAAGTGCTTAGTACTATGGCCATAATTGTCAACAAGTTAGGGGGACATATAACAGCTGAAATACCTCAAATATTTGATGCTGTTTTTGAATGCACATTGAATATGATAAATAAGGTGTGTAATATTTCAGTTATGTACGGGGAAAATTCTAGCGGATAGCCTTAATTCTTGAAGGCTAAAGTATATCTATGGATATAACATAATTTTAATGCCATGGAGCTTAAATATTTATACTTGTATATTAGGGAAATACTTTTTTTGTTTTCAAGAACTTCCCAGGAGTTTGAAACCAACCTGGGCAATATAGTGAGACTTCATCTCTACAAAAAGTTAAAAAATTAACCAGTCATGGTGGCATGTGCCTGTAGTCCCAGCTACTGAAGTGGCTGAGCGACAGTGACACTGAAGTGGGAGGATTACTTGAGCCTGGGAGTTCAACGTGGCAGTTTGCTGAGATCATGCTACTGCACTCTAACATGGGCAACAGAGTCAGACCATTTCTTAAAAAAGAAGAATTTACTACACAGAATCTTGATTGGTAAAAAGTAAATGTGGAAAATAGATTTTAACATTCACATGGTATGTAGCATTTATTGAAACCTCATAGCAGGTCGGGGCATCCTTTTATGAACGTAGTTAGTTTGAATACATGAGAAAGTCTGCATGATTCAATTATAAAAGTGTAGTATATGCTTATAAGAAACCGAAAAATGTTGGCCGGGCGCGGTGGCTCAAGCCTGTAGTCCCAGCACTTTGGGAGGCCGAGACGGGCGGATCACGAGGTCAGGAGATCGAGACCATCCTGGCTAACACGGTGAAACCCCGTCTCTACTAAAAAATACAAAAAACTAGCCGGGCGCGGTGGCGGGCGCCTGTAGTCCCAACTACTCGGGAGGCTGAGGCAGGAGAATGGCGTGAACCCGGGAGGCGGAGCTTGCAGTGAGCTGAGATCCGGCCACTGCACTCCAGCCTGGGCGGCAGAGCAAGACTCCGTCTCAAAAAAAAAAAAAAAAAAAAAAAAGAAACCGAAAAATGTATTAATCAACAAGAGAAAATAGGCTGGGAATGGTGGCTCACACCTGTCATCCCAGCACTTCAGAAGGCCAAGGCAGGCAGATGACGTGAGGTCAGAAGTTCAAGACCAGTCTGGCCAACATGGCATTAAAAATACAAGGCCGGGCGCGGTGGCTCAAGCCTGTAATCCCAGCACTTTGGGAGGCCGAGACGTCACGAGGTCAGGAGATCGAGACCATCCTGGCTAACACAGTGAAACCGCGTCTCTACTAAAAAAAATACAAAAAACTAGCCGGGCGAAGTGGCGAGCGCCTGTAGTCCCAGCTACCCGGGAGGCTGAGGCAGGAGAATGGCGTGAACCCGGGAGGCAGAGCTTGCAGTGAGCCGAGATCGCGCCACTGCACTCCAGCCTGGGTGACAGAGCGAGACTCTGTCTCAAAAAAAAAAAAAAAAAATACAAAAATGGCCAGGCGCGGTGGCCCATGCCTGTAATCCCAACAGTTGGGAGGCCGAGGCCGGTGGATTGCCTGAGATCAGGAGTTCAAGACCGCCCTGATCAACATGGTGAAACCCCGTCTCTACTAAAAAACAAAAATTAGCTACTCGGGAGGCTGAGGCAAGAGAATCGCTTGAACCCAGGAGGCGGAAGTTGCGGTGAGCTGAAATTGCACCACTGCACTCCAGCCTGGGCGACAGAGCAAGACTCTGTCTCCAAAAAAAAAAAAAAAGCGAGAGATAAAAGAAATGGTAAGTGGACACATTCACATGGTAACTTAAATTTTTTCGTAATCTGTAGTGGTGGTTTCAAATTAAAAACAAAAGTGATAGTAGTAGTGTTACGGTAATAATGGTTTTGATGAGTTCTCTATTAATAAGGATAGCTTTCTCTTTCAATTTGATAACTCATGTGCGTAACAGGGAACAGTTTCATTTTCCATGGGAGGTGGATTGTATTTTGTTTGGGTTTATCTTTCAGGAGGCATTATATCTTCTATGGTTTATTGAAAACTCCAAACATTTTTACTGGATTAAGCCTTGCTTTTCCCCTCCTGCTAGCACAGCGAAGACACTGAAACATTATTTTGTTTCCACCACTTATTTTTAGGACTTTGAAGAATATCCTGAACACAGAACGAACTTTTTCTTACTACTTCAGGCTGTCAATTCTCATTGTTTCCCAGCATTCCTTGCTATTCCACCTACACAGTTTAAACTTGTTTTGGATTCCATCATTTGGGCCTTCAAACATACTATGAGGAATGTCGCAGATACGGGTAAATAAATTTAAAAGATGTTCTTTTATTCATTTGCCTGTCAATCCAAAAATACAAATATAGATAGTTATATACTTGTACATAGGAAGGTATTACTTGTTCAGAGTTTTGAATGCATGAATTACATATATGAACATCTGAGAAAATCCTATAAGCAGTTTAATCAACTGTTCCACTGCACTCCAGGTGAGTCCATAGGCAGAATTGAGTTATGGGAGAGGGGCCTAGTAATAATTGGTTTATGTAATACCAAATTCTACTGAGTAGTGATGTTGTAGAAGTTCATACAGAATCAGCTAAGCTTTCAGAAATGGTGAAAGGGTGGTAATGGTCGTAACTTAGATTATAATTTTTCTCCATAGGCTTTTTTTTTTAATATTCACAAATTTTTTTTTTTATTTCAATAGTTTTGGGGCAACTGGTGATTACATGAATAAAGTCTTTAATGGTGATTTCTGAGATTTTGGTGCACCCATCAGCCGAGCAGTAGGAACTCTACCTTATGTGTAGTCTTATCCCTCACCCCCTCCCACCCTTCCCCACAAGTCCCCAAAGTCCATTATATGATCTTTATGCCTTTACATCTTCATAGTTTAGCTCTCACATAACTTAGATTATAATTTATAAGTAAGCCAGCATTGGATATAGTTGTACTCCATTATCAATTTAAGAAACCTTAGGCAAGTAATTATTAGTCATCATCCCCAAAAAAAGGGAGAATAGGGTTAGATTCAGAATACTTTGATAAGAGCTAAATACTATCATGAGTGCTGTCAGTCTGTAGTAACTTTCCATTGGTATTCTATGTCTTTTAGGCTTACAGATACTTTTTACACTCTTACAAAATGTTGCACAAGAAGAAGCTGCAGCTCAGAGTTTTTATCAAACTTATTTTTGTGATATTCTCCAGCATATCTTTTCTGTTGTGACAGACACTTCACATACTGCTGGTAAGAATTTAATACGTTTAAGATTTAAATGTTGGGCCGGGCGCGGTGGCTCAAGCCTGTAATCCCAGCACTTTGGGAGGCCGAGACGGGTGGATCACAAGGTCAGGAGATCGAGACCATCCTGGCTAACACAGTGAAACCCCGTCTCTACTAAAAAATACAAAAAACTAGCCGGGCGAGCTGGCGGGCGCCTGTGGTCCCAGCTACTCGGGAGGCTGAGGCAGGAGAATGGCGTGAACCCGGGAGGCGGAGCTTGCAGTGAGCTGAGATCAGGCCACTGCACTCCAGCCTGGGCGACAGAGCGAGACTCCGTCTCAAAAAAAAAAAAAAAGATTTAAATGTTAAGTGCCGGCCGGGCACGATGGCGCATGCCTGTAATGCCAGCACTTTGGGAGGTCGAGGCGGGGAGATCATGAGGTCAGGAGTTCGAGAACAGCCTGGCCACTATAAAAAAAATTAGCCGGGCATGGTGGCATGCGATTGCAATCCCACCTACTCGGGAGGCTGAGGCAGGAGAATGGCTTGGATCCGGGAGGCAGAGGTTGCAGTGAACTAAGATTGCACCACTGCACTCCAGCCTGGGTGACAGAGCGAGACTCTGCTCAAAAAAAAAAAAACACTAAGATCTATGGTTATATTACATTTTGGAGTTAATAATTTTCTTCTTATCAACAGGTTTAACAATGCATGCATCAATTCTTGCATATATGTTTAATTTGGTTGAAGAAGGAAAAATAAGTACATCATTAAATCCTGGAAATCCAGTTAACAACCAAATCTTTCTTCAGGAATATGTGGCTAATCTCCTTAAGTCGGCCTTCCCTCACCTACAAGAGTAAATATGCCTTTTAATAAACGTAGAATGTTCCTGGTCGGGCACAGTGGCTCACACCTATAATCCCAGCACTCTGGGAAGTCTAAGATGGGAGGATTGCTTGGGCCCAAGAGTTGGAGACCAATCTAGACAACAAAACAAGATCCCGTCTCTACAAAAAAATGAGTCAGATGTGGTGGTGTGCATCTGTAGGGCCAGCTACTTGAGAGGCTGAGGCGAGAGGGTTGTTTGCATCCTGGAGTTTAAGACTACAGTGAGCTATGACCACGCCACTGCACACCAGCCCGGGTGACAGAGCGAGACCGTGCCTCTTTAAAAAAGCAAAAAAAAAAAAAAAAAAAGGCCACGCACAGTGGCTCATGCCTGTAGTCCCAGCACTTTGGGAGGCTGAGGTGGGTGAATCACAAGGTCAGGAGTTCAAGACCAGCCTGGCCAAGATGGTGAAACCCGTCTCTACTAAAAGTACAAAAAAATTAGTCGGGCATGGTGGCGGGTGCCTGTAATCCCAGCTACTTGGGAGGCTGAGGGACGGAATTGCTTGAACCCAGGAGGCAGAGGTTGCAGTGAGCCGAGAGCGCATCACTGCACCCCAGTGTGGGCAACAGAGCAAGACTTTGTCTCAAAAAAAAAAGTAAAAATAGGCCAGGCGCGGTGGCTCGCGCCTGTAATCCCAGCACTTTGGGAGGCCGAAATGGGCGGATCACGAGGTCAGGATATCGAGACCATCCTGGCTAACACAGTGAAACCCCATCTCTACTAAAAATACAAAAAAATTAGCCAGGCATAGTGGCGGGTTCCTGTAGTCCCAGCTACTCAGGAAGCTGAGGCAGGAGAATGGCGCGAACCTGGGAGGCGGAGCTTGCAGTGAGCTGAGATCCTGCCACTGCACTCCAACCTGGGCGACTGAGCAAGACTCCGTCTCCAAAAATAAAATAAAATAAAAATAAAAAGGCTAGGCACGGTATCTCACACCTGTAATCCGGGCACTTTGGGAGGCCTAGGTGGGCAGATCACCTGAGGTCAGGAGTTCAGGATTAGCCTGACCGATATGGAGAAACCCTGTCTCTATGAAAAATACAATTTAGCTGGGCATGGTGGTGCATGCCTGTAATCCCAGCTACTCGAGAGGCTGAGGCAGGAGAATAGCTTCAACCTGGGAGGCAGAGGTTACGGTGAGCCACGATTGTGGCATTGTACTCCAACCGGATAAACGAGCAAAACTCTGTCTCAAAAATAAAAATAAATTCTTGATTTAAAAATCCATTATTGGGAGGCTGAGGCAGGAGAATGGCTTGAACCCAGGAGGCAGAGATTACAGTGAGCCGAGATCGCGCCACTGTACTCCAGCCTGGTGACAGAGCAAGACTGTCTCAGAAAAAAAAAAAAGTTATTTAATAATTGTGTTTTGATTTGCAGTGCTCAAGTAAAGCTCTTTGTGACAGGGCTTTTCAGCTTAAATCAAGATATTCCTGCTTTCAAGGAACATTTAAGAGATTTCCTAGTTCAAATAAAGGTATGTATTTATTTGCTCTTGCAGAAATATTAGGGGTAAATGTGACCACTTAATTGTTACATTGTAGAATTTTTATCACTTGATTTGACATGCCAAATGAATGAGGTTTCAAGAGAATACCTTTATACAGTCTCTCTAATCAAAAAACCTGAGACTGGTAATAGAGTGAAAAACTAAAGTCCAATAAGGATAGATGGGTTTGAGATGTTATTTGGATAAACTTGTTACTAATGTAATTAATTTTAGGTTACTAATGTAATTAATTCTTAAATATATAATGGAATGTTGGGTAAGAAAAACAATGGTAGTTCTTTTTATAATTTTATACCAATTTTGTTAGTTGAGAGAACCATGAAAGTTACTAGATAGAATGTCTTCTGTTATACAGTGCTTTATTCATACTTTTGGGAAGGGTTTTTCTTTGAACATCTTGCTTTAAAGAAATGTGGAAGTACTGTGAAATCCTAAGTAGCTGATGAATAGTTTATCCATGATTGTTGAATAAGAATTAGTCTCGTAAGCTCTTAAATATTTTCTCCAAAATACAAAGGTTTTATTTTCTTTAACTGTAAAAATATTAACCAATTTTTTAAAACCTAATGAAAGTTACCTAGGCTTGGCGCAGTTGCTCATGCGTGTAATCCCAGCACTTTGGGAGGCCAAGGTGGGTGGATCACCTGAGATCAGGAGTTTGAGACTAGTGTGGCTGACAAGGTGAAACCCCTGTCTCTACTAATTATACAAAAATTAGCTGGGCATGGTGGTGCACAGCTGTAATCGCAGCTACTTGAGAGGCTGAGGCAAGAGAATTGCTTGAACCCAGGAGGCAAAGGTTGCAGTGAGCCGAGATTGCATCATTGTACTCCAACCTGGGTGACAAGAGTGAAACTCCATCTCAAAAAAAAAAAAGACCAGGCGCGGTGGCTCACGCCTGTAATCCCAGCACTTTGGGAGGCCGAGGTGGACGGATCATGAGGTCAGGAGATCGAGACCATCCTGGCTAACACGGTGAAATCTCTACTAAAAATACAAAAAATTAGCTAGGTGTGGTGGTGGGCACCTGTAGTCCCAGGTACTCGGGAGGCTGAGGCAGGAGAATGGTGTGAACCCGGGAGGTGGAGGTTGCAGTGAGCCGAGATCACGCCACTGAACTCCAGCTTGGGCGACAGAGCGAGACTCCATCTCAAAAAAAAAAAAAAAGTTACCTGATAGCTACGAAGACAATAATAATATAACTAAACTTGATTTAATGACAGTCATTAGCCTTAGGAGAAACATCTTTCTTGATATCTTGGCATATGAAGAATTTTTAGCTGGGCGCGGTGGCTCACACCTGTAATCCCAGCACTGTGGGAGGCCGAGGCAGACGGATCAATTGAGGTCAGGAGTTGAAGATCAGCCCAGCCAACATGGTGAAACCTCATCTCTACTAAAAACACAAAAATTAGCCAGGTCTGGTGGCGGGCACCTGTAATCCCAGCTACTCAGGAGGCTGAGGTTTCAGTGAGCTGAGATCGTAACACTGTACTCCAGCTTGGGCAATAAGACTGCCTCTCAAAAGAGAAAAAAGTGTCTGGGTGCAGTGGCTCATGCCTGCTAATCCCAGCACTTTGGGATTGCCTGAGTTCAGGAGTTTGAGATCAACCTGGGCAACATGGTGAAACCCTGTCTCTACTAAAAATGCAAAAGATGAGCCAGATGTGGTGGCGCACACCTGTAATCCCAGCTACTGGGGAGGCTGAGGCAGGAGAATCGCTTGTGCCTTGGAGGCAGAGGTTGAGATAATGTGCTGGCGGGCTATAAAACAAGACTTACCACAAAAAGAACAAAAATTTGTGTGAATACATAGTAGGTGTATATACTTAGGGGATGGGACGCATGAGATTCTTTGGTAGAAGCATACAACACATAATCACATTGAAGAATATTTACTGTATGGTATCACACCATGAATTTTTTTTCTTTTTTGAGACGGAGTCTCGCTGTGTCGCCCAGGCTGGAGTGCAGTGGCCGGATCTCAGCTCACTGCAAGCTCTGCCTCCCGGGTTTTTACGCCATTCTCCTGCCTCAGCCTCCCGAGTAGCCGGGACTACAGGCGCCCGCCACCTCGCCCGGCTAGTTTTTTGTATTTTTTAGTAGAGACGGGGTTTCACCGTGTTAGCCAGGATGGTGTCGAACTCCTGACCTCGTGATCCGCCCGTCTCGGCCTCCCAAAGTGCTGGGATTACAGGCTTGAGCCACCGCGCCCGGCCTTTTTTCTTTATTTTTGAGACAGTCTCGCTCTTATCACCCAGGCTGGAGAGCAGTGGCGTGATCTTGGCTTACTGTAACCTCTGCCACACAGGTTCAAGCGATTCTCCTGCCTCAGCCTCCCAAGTAGCTGGGATTATAGGCGCCTGCCAGCACGCCTGCCTAATTTTAGTAATGACAGGGTTTCACCATGTTGGCCAGGGTGGTCTCGAACTCCTGACTTCAAGTGATCTTCCTGTCTCTGCCTCCCAGAGTGTTGGGATTACAGGCACCTGAGCCACCATGCCTGGGGCCCATGATTCTTTTGTAACCTTTTTCCCCCCAGCTAACAGGTTTGGTTCATTCAGCTATGTACTATACTGTATCACTATCCTATAATTTAAAACCCAGCCAGTTTATGGATAATTATATTCCTTCTCTAAAAAGAAAATTACTCATCTGTGATTTCTTTCTTTGCAAGTTGAAGTTTATTGTGTTGACATTTCAACTATGTCTTCACAGGAATTTGCAGGTGAAGACACTTCTGATTTGTTTTTGGAAGAAAGAGAAATAGCCCTACGACAGGCTGATGAAGAGAAACATAAACGTCAAATGTCTGTCCCTGGCATCTTTAATCCACATGAGATTCCAGAAGAAATGTGTGATTAAAATCCAAATTCATGCTGTTTTTTTTCTCTGCAACTCTTGTTGGCAGAGGAAAACAGCATGTGGGTATTTGTCGACCAAAATGATGCCAATTTGTAAATTAAAATGTCACCTAGTGGCCCTTTTTCTTATGTGTTTTTTTGTATAAGAAATTTTCTGTGAAATATCCTTCCATTGTTTAAGCTTTTGTTTTGGTCATCTTTATTTAGTTTGCATGAAGTTGAAAATTAAGGCATTTTTAAAAATTTTACTTCATGCCCATTTTTGTGGCTGGGCTGGGGGGAGGAGGCAAATTCGATTTGAACATATACTTGTAATTCTAATGCAAAATTATACAATTTTTCCTGTAAACAATACCAATTTTTAATTAGGGAGCATTTTCTTTCTAGTCTATTTCAGTCTAGAAGAAAAGATAATGAGTAAAACAAATTGCGTTGTTTAAAGGATTATAGTGCTGCATTGTCTGAAGTTAGCACCTCTTGGACTGAATTGTTTGTCTAGACTACATGTATTACAAAGTCTCTTTGGCAAGATTGCAGCAAGATCATGTGCATATCATCCCATTGTAAAGCGACTTCAAAAATATGGGAACACAGTTAGTTATTTTTACACAGTTCTTTTTGTTTTTGTGTGTGTGTGCTGTCGCTTGTCGACAACAGCTTTTTGTTTTCCTCAATGAGGAGTGTTGCTCATTTGTGAGCCTTCATTAACTCGAAGTGAAATGGTTAAAAATATTTATCCTGTTAGAATAGGCTGCATCTTTTTAACAACTCATTAAAAAACAAAACAAAACAACTCTGGCTTTTGAGATGACTTATACTAATTTACATTGTTTACCAAGCTGTAGTGCTTTAAGAACACTACTTAAAAAGCAAAATAAACTTGGTTTACATTTATTTTTCCTTTATTGACTCAGATTTATTCCTATATTAATGATAGTGGGTATTTGTGTTTAAGCATCAAGTAACATTTTAAATGAAGTTGGACCCCTTGATTTACAAATAAGATTTCTAAGGTTATTGTTACTAGTAACTGCAGCAGGTGTGTAAAATGAACATGTTCCTAAGACACCTTTTGTTCCCAAGAAACAAATTCCTCCAGTGGCATTTTGACTCATTTTATCTTTATTTGAGACTAGAGGGTACTTCTTGTCTAAACTCTAGTTAGCATCTAAGTGTAACAAAGAATAAAACATTAGCCTTAGAATGAGAACATAGATGTAACCTGGTACAAATATCAGTTGTATTCTTTTTTTTTTTTTTGAGACAGAGTCTCGCTCAGTCGCCCAGGCTGGAGTGCAGTGGCCGGATCTCAGCTCACTGCAAGCTCCGCCTCCCGGGTTTACGCCATTCTCCTGCCTCAGCCTCCCAAGTAGCTGGGACTACAGGCGCCTGCCACCTTGCCCGGCTAGTTTTTTGTATTTTTAGTAGAGACGGGGTTTCACCATGTTAGCCAGGATGGTCTCGATCTCCTGACCTTGTGATCCACCCGTCTCGGCCTCCCAAAGTGCTGGGATTACAGGCTTGAGCCACCGCGCCCGGCCCAGTTGTATTCTTATAAATGTAAGTAAGTAAGCTAAGTAGCCATAAGCCTTCTAAAAAGGGTGAGTAGAACTAGGTTTGGTAGCTCACACCTAGTAATCCCAACCCTTTGGGAGGCCAAGGTGGGTGGGTCACATGAGACCAAGAGTTCCAGACCAGCCTGGCCAACATGGTGAAACCCTGTCTCTACTCCCGGTAGGAGCCCAATGTACAGCATGCAAGAAAGAATAAATGGATGTACACACAAAGCAAGAGTGAAGGATTGAGGCAATGGTCCATGGTAGTTGTTTCTGAAGTTACTTGAGCAAGGACATTTTCATTTTCTTTTCTTTATTTTTTTTTTTGAGACGGAATCTCCCTCTGTCACCCAGGCTGGAGTGCAGTGGCATAATCTCGGCTCACTGCAACCTCTGCCTTCTGGGTTCAAGTGATTCTTCTGCCTCAGCCTCCCAAGTAGCTGGGATTACAGGCATGTGCCACCACACGCAGGTGTGTGCCACCACGCCCGGCTAATTTTTATTCTTCAGTAGAGACAGGATTTCACCATATTGGCCAGGCTGGTCTAAAGTCCTGACCTCATGATCCGCCCGCCTCAGCCTCCCAAAGTGCTGGGATTACAGGCGTAAGCCACGGTGCCTGGCCTTCTCATTTTATATAATGTGTGTGTAAATGGACAACTAAGGATTATCAGACATCTGAGGGCAGTCTCAATATGGATTTTAAAATGGAAATAGGGCTGGGTGCGGTGGCTCAAGCCTGTAATCCCAGCACTTTGGGAGGCCGAGACGGGCGGATCACGAGGTCAGGAGATCGAGACCATCCTGGCTAATATGGTGAAACCCCATCTCTACTAAAAATACAAAAAACTAGCCGGGCGAGGTGGTGGGCGCCTGTAGTCCCAGCTACTCGGGAGGCTGAGGCAGGAGAATGGCGTAAACCCGGGAGGCGGAGCTTGCAGTGAACTGAGATCCGGCCACTGCACTCCAGCCTGGGCGACAGAGCGAGACTCCATCTCAAAAAAAAAAAAAAAAAAAAAAATGGAAATAGAAAAAAAGACAAGTTGGAAACAGACGACACAGGCAAAAGTAAACAAGCAAAAACAAAAAACTATCACCAATACCCTTAAAAAAGTTGAGAGGTTTTTGCAAGCAAGAAAAACAATACCACAGTAAATGTACATCAAGAGAACAAAATTTTGGAAATCAGAGAACAGCAGAAATAAAGAGTTGGAGAGGCCAGGCACAGTGGCTCACGCCTGTGATCCCAGCACTTTGGGAGGCCAAGGTGGGCGGATCATGAGGTCAGGTGATCGAGACTATCCTGGCTGACACGGTGAAACCCTGTCTCCACTAAAAATACAAGAGTTAGTGGGCATGGTGGCGGGCACCTGTAGTCCCAGCTACTCGGGAGGCTGAGGCAGGAGAATGAGGCGTGAACCCAGGAGGCGGAGCTTGCAGTGAGCCAAGATTGTGCCACTGCACTCCAGCCTGGGCGACAGAGCGAGACTCCGTCTCAAAAAAAGAAAAAAAAAAAATTGAAATCTGCCAAAAATAGAGGGAAAAGAGACAAAGATGCAAAATGCAAACTTTTAAAAATTTGAGGACCACTTCATAAGCCAACATGAGTTCCAAATAGAAGAAAATGGAGTGTATGGAAAAAAGGATTCAAGAGAATTTCCCCAAACAAGGATATCAATTTGCTCATAACAAATCACCAAATATCCATCCCATAAGACACAAATAGACCCCCCAGTTGTCCAGGTGTGGTGACACACACTTGTCCTCCCAGCTACCCAGGAGGCTGAGGCAGGAGGATCCCTTGAGTCAGGGAAGTGGCGGAACACACATGTAGTCCCAGCTACTTGGGAGGCTGAGGCAGGAGGATCACCTCAAAGCATACCATTCAAAGCATGCTGAGCCTATGCATTATCACTGCACTGCAGGCTGGGCAACACAGTGAGACCTCTGTGGGGTGCAGTGGCTCACAACTGTAATCCTAGCACTTAGGGAGGTGGGAGGATTGCTGGAGCTCAGGAGTTCAAGACCAGTCTGGGCAACATAGGAAGACCCTGTCTTTTTTTTAAATTTAGGCCAAGCCTGGTGGCTGAGACCTGTAATCCCATCACTTTGGGAGGCTGAGGTGGGTGGATCACTTGAGACCAAGAGTTCAAGACCAGCCTCGGCAACATAGTAAGACCCCTGTCTCTACTAAAAATGTAAATATTAGCCCAATGTGATGGCACACATCTGTAGTCCCAGCTACTTGGGAGGCTGAGGCAGAATTGCTTGAACCCAGGAGACAGGAGATTGCAGTAAGCTGAGGTCACACCACTACACTCCAGCCTGGGAGACAGAGCAAGGCTCTGTCTCAAAAACACATTTTTTTTTTTTTTTTTTTTGAGATGGGTCTTGCCCTGTCGCCCAGGCTGGAGTGCAGTGGCGCGGTCTCGGCTCACTGCAACCTTCGCCTCCCAGGTTCACACCATTCTCCTGCCTCAGCCTCCCAAGTAGCTAGGACTACAGGTGCCCACCACCATGCCCAGATAATTTTTTAAATTTTTAGTAGAAACGGTTTCACCGTATTAGCCAGGATAGTCTCGATAGCCTGACCTCGTGATCTACCCACCTTGGCCTCCCAAAGTGCTGGGATTACAGGTGTGAGCCACCGTGCCCGGCTTCTTTTTTGAGATGGAGTCTCTCACTGTTGCCCAGGCCGGAGTGCAGTGGTGCGATCTTGGCTCATTGCAACCTCCATCTCCAAGCAATTCTCCTGTCTCAGCCTCCCGAGTAGCTGAGATTACAGGCGCTCACCACCACACCCAGCCAATTTTTTTTTGTATTTTTACCTAGAGATGGGCTTTCACTATGTTGGTCAGGCTGGTCTCGAACTCCTGACCTTATGATCCGCCCACCTCGGCCTCCCAAAGTGCTGGGGTTACAAGTGTGAGCCATGGCTCCTGGCCATAAATAATTCTTGTGAATGCAGTAGCCTTAAGAAATTTGCACCAAACTTGTATCAGAATCAGAGGGAGAAATAAAAGGTGGAAGCTGAAGAAACCTTATGCTCACATGAAGGAAACATTTAGGCTTTGACTAAGAAAAATATGCAGAGAAAGAGCAAAAGACATAGAATGAGACTGTGAAGCATAAAAGTGAAATTAAGATGAAAGGTGGCCAGGTGTGGTGGCTCACACCTGTCATCCCAGCACTTTGGGAGGCTGAGGTAGGCAGATCATCTGAGGTCGGGGGTTTGAGACTATCCTGGCCAACATGGTGAAACCATGTCTATCAAAAACAAAAAAATTAGGTCGGGTGCGGTGGCTCAACGCCTGTAATCCCAGCACTTTGGGAGGCCGAGGCAGGCGGATCACAAGGTCAGGAGATCGAGACCATGGTGAAACCCCGTCTCTACTAAAAATACAAAAAACTAGCCGGGCGCGGTGGCAGGCGCCTGTAGTCCCAGCTACTCAGGAGGCTGAGGCAGGAGAATGGCGTGAACCCGGGAGGCGGAGCTTGCAGTGAGCCGAGATCGCGCCACTGCACTCCAGCCTGGGCGACAGAGCGAGACTCCGTCTCAAAAAAAAAAAAAAAAAAATTAGCCAGGCGTGGTGGTGAGCACTAGTAATCCCAGCTAGTTGGGAGGCTGAGGCAGGAGAATCGCCTGAACCCGAGAGGCGGAGGTTGCAGTGAGCTGAGATCATGCCACTGCACTCCAGTCTGGATGACAGAGTGAAACTCGGTCTCAAAAAAAAAAAAAAAAAAAAAAATAGATAAATAGGCCGGGTGCAGTGGCTCACATCTGTAATCCCAACACTTTTGGAGGCCAAGGTGGACGGATCACAAGATCAGGAGTTTGAGACCAGCCTGGCCACATAGTGAAACCCTGTCTCTACTAAAAATACAAAAAAATTAGCCTGATGTGGTGGCGGGCACCTGTAATCCCAGCTACTTGGGAGGCTGAGGCAGGAGAATCGTTTGAACCCAAGAGGTGGAGGTTGCAGTGAGCGGAGATTGCACCACTGCACTCCAGCCTGGGTGACAGTATGAGACTCTGTCTCAAAATAAATAAATACATAAATAAATAAAAAGATGAAAGGCACAGGAATGGAGAGATGGAAGGAGACAAAATAGGCTGACTGTACGGTACATTCCAGGGTGAATGTTATTTTGTGATAAAGTGCCTCCTGTTCATTTGAGTTGTGGCAAATAATTTAACTGTCGTAACTGGTCCTCAAAATGTTGATCAACAGTTATACACACTTACTAAACTTTCCGTTGTTTCATACCCATAATGAATGCTTCCTTATTTTTATCTTGCAGTGGCTGGTGCCAGGGCAAGATCGCCTAAGGAGGCCA